GAGTCTGATCAAACCCAAACCCATCTATGTCATGAAGTGTTGGTATTTACATTGGAACCATAGAGCCAATCCTAGGTTATGCCCCAATTTCTGGCACTATTTTCTCCTCTGAGTTTTCCTTGTGTAATGTAACTGGCACTTTATTAATGTACTATTGACACAGTGAAGAGCATTCTTAAATGTAACACTAAGAAACACTACCAGCAACATAACAGCATCAAAATTATGGGTCCAGTTCACTTCAGGCCAGAGGAACCCAAACTCCAGCACCCTAGTGCACTAGGAGTGCAGGTGGTACAGGCTACCAGTAACACCTGCTCTCCTGAGTGCCCAGGCCCAGCGAGTGCAGCCCCCAAAGTGGGTATTGCTTGCCTAAGAGGGATCCAGAGTAGGTCAACTGGAAAATGTGCTTATAAAGCCTCCATCAATGAGACTCCTATGGAGCTCCAGACAGATTTTAAAGCTGCCCTTCCCCATTGGAACACCTGCAGGAGAGCAGCAACGATTTCTCCTCAGCCACTGGTGTAAGTCTGGCTTAATAGGAGAGGTTGCTATTTGACTCTGGAAACTTCTTTCAAATGTACTGATACAGCAAAGAGGTGAAGGGCCTGATTCCCCGCTGTTACTCCAGTTTTACAGAATGGTTCTTCGGTGGAGTTCCACTAGTGCAGAAGAGATGTGATGCAGTGAAGTATCAGGTCCCCAGTCTTTCACTGCAGCCAAAGACATGCAGGACAGAAGTGCAGTAACAACTGTCTCAACCAAACATGTCAAGTCATTGCATTCTTGGCATCCTGTAATCATCTAAACAGCCCCAAGATGCCTGACAACTTAAAGCTACACCAAGGGATCACTTTTCCCACCACCCAAATACAGCCAACTCCGTGATAGAAATATGGCAACTGTTCCAGAACCATCTGAAGAAGTGAGGTTTTTACCCATGAAAACTTATGCCCAAATAAATCTGTTAGTCTTTAAGGTGCCACCAGACTCCTTGTTGTTTTTGTAGATACAGACTAATACGGCTACCCCCTGATACTTGTTCCAGAACCAGCTTACCAACACTAACGCTAAACATAATTTAACACGGGAAGTGAAGAATATTGTATCCTGTTGAAAAGCCAGGGGAAAGTCATGTCGGTAGAAAGTAAATTAGTTATAATCTGGCCAGAAGACCCCATCAGGGATTATATATTGTATATTCTGAATATACAATATGTAATCCATATAAAAAAATAAATCAGGAATCACTTTCTCTCATCCAAAAAAAAAGCACAGAACAATTTTCCTTAACACCATGATAAGGCATTGGTTTAGAGAGAAACCTGAATCACCAACATCACTTCTTGCAGCATTTAGGTGTCTGGGATTGGCTGTCGGCTACACTGGCCTGTTCTGACCCTAACCATCTTGTGACACTGCATCACATCACAACTGGAAGTTTTATACAGATTACCAAGAAAGGAGATTATCTTGACACTTTTGCTGTGTGTTCCCTTTGATAACACATTTTACTAGGTTAGGTTTACTGTCTTTGTCTTGTAGGACTAGCTAATTTCACCCACCTACCCATCCGCATTTTTACAGCTTTAAAACCAAATTATGTCCTTACATTCATGAGCAACTCCCCAGTGGAAGTCAATGGGAACCACATGCACACCTGAGAGGTAGTTTCAGCTCTTAAAACTTGTTTTATTCTGCAGATTAGCTAAATTATATATGTATGTATTTACTGTAGACTACAACTGATAAAATCTCTCATTTGTAATCATAAAAAATTTAATTGGGAAGACCAGGTGGAAGAAATGGACATCAAGTTTTAAGCAGAATATCACAGTTGATCCAGTATTCCTGATCTTGCTGAGAATACTCCATCCATCCAAAAATGGTTTCATTTTTAGCAGAGACAAATCACTATCAAGAAATCTCATAAGCCAATTTCAATAGCATATAAACAGAGTATTGTTGTTGCACTGTCTAGACACACAGTTGCTTGCAGTACCTCTGAAATTCATCAAATGGATATTATTAATCATGCTAATTACAGCAGTGCTCAAGAGCCAACCAAGAATGGGGCCCTAATGTGCTAGGTGCTGTACAGAGTAGTAAATTACTCTTGCCCTGAAGCACTTACAATCTAACTAGACAAGACAGACACAAGGTGGGGGAAGAGGTAAAACACCCAAGCAGAGTGAACAATGTGATGGCACCAAACTGCATGTTCTATGATTTGTTGGGAGGGATGGGGGTTTAGGTCAGGGGAATCATCTAAATGGGGGCAGGGAAAGGAAGGGTGACGGGGGACATGACAGATAAGAAGGGGACAAGAGAGGCAGGTGTGGAATAAAGCTGCGGTGAAGAGACTGTAGGAGAGGAAGAGGGTTGTAGCACACAGCAAATCAATCAGCACAGGGCAGAGAAAGTCCAGTGAAACCTGTAGAAAGTTCTCTGAATGTCCAAAAGTCCCTGCCCCAAAAGATGGGGTGTCTGGCTGGTTCCTCTCTGCAATTTTTCCCCCAAGACTCCTTTGTGGTGTTGGTGGGACACTCATCTTCCAGCTTCACTGGGGATGTGGTGAGCAGACACCTCATTCAAAGGGGCAGGAACTTGGCAGAGTCTGGGGAGAGGTGGGCGAACAGACCCGCCCAGGAGGCCTGGGCAGAGTAACAGCAGTGAACGCTACTCCCAGTGAGAACAGCTGACTGAGCGGAAGGAAGTGAAAAAGGCTAATCAGATTTCTCAACCATTAAAATCGAATACAACACAAGTGTAATGCAGAAGTGTTGGAGACGTCCTGGAAACAGCCCTTCATCATTCAATGTATTTTGTGCATGCAAATTCTAGAAGTTCATAGTAGACGTTATACAGTTAACCACACAGGGATTCTTGATATTTAGCAGTAGAACTTTTGATATGGCTGAAAATTGCATTAATACCTTTATATAGAAAAATACTATGTAAACACCACCATGAACACTTGTTTTTACCGAGGGAGGAAATAATGAAAATTGAACAAACAGTAGAGCAATTGCAAGAACACTCAAGTAACATACAAGCTAACATTAAGCAAAGGTCACCATTTGACATTTACTATACACTATTTGCCAGACCTGGCCAGATATAAATATTAACATCTGCCACACTTATCCTCTATTTCTATTATTCTAAAAAACTCCAAGACCAATTGCTTTAATAATATGTCAAAAATACAATATATATTAAGTAGACCATAGCCTCCAAGTGTCTCGGATGGGTGCCTAGATATGAGAACCTAGATAGCTAGAACTTAGCAACCTACTGTGAATAAGCATCAACTGACATACTGAGTCTAGCAAGCAAGTCTAGCACCAACATCACACTATCAAGTATTAAAGTAGATTTCTATGTTCTCTCAGAGCGAGAGGCAGTTAGAAACTAGAAAGACATGATTCATTTGCAAAAAACGTACTTAACCTGAACTTTCCCCACATGTTCGTAAAAGTAACTATTTCCCTGTATGGTACTTCTTATGCCATGAATTCTTTTCCTCAAAGAAGAAATTTTAATATATTTTAACATTAAATTCTTTTCATTACTTGTACAGTGTCAGACTTAGTTTGACAGGTGTGCCTTGGGACTGAACTTCCCCATCCAAAGAATAAGTATTCAAGGAGACTGTGGTAGTGCAAACTTCCCTATATCATCCTCTGAGAGTGCTTAGACATCAAATTGGACCCATAGAGCTCAAAAGAGTACTTCTACGACTACTCAATATACGTCTCCACTCTAAAATTCTCTGAAAAGACTCTAGATAGTAATTGGGATGTGACCACGTGGACCACTAGGAACTGGACTGAAACCAATTCATTTCTGCAGACATTGAAAGGCCATCATCAGATAAGTATGTTCAAATCACTAGTGACTCAGGCAAATTTGAATATGTGACCTAGAAGTGAAGGGCTCTATATCCTATTACCAATCACATGGGCCATCTGGTCCCTCCATTGCAAGATTTAACACATACACACACAAAAAAAGGTTCATGCAGCATGCATCAAAATTTATCCAATTTAATTCTACAAGTTGTTTTTAGAACAAAATGATTCCCAAATGACTTCAAAAGAAATCAATAGACTATATTCAGGATTTCTCCCCCTTTTATTGATTCCCGTTTACCATGGTTTCACAACAGCTTTTCTTCTCTTTGGGGGAAATTACAAAGAAATCAGTTGCAATGATAGTCATTTGCCTTTAATTTTACACTATCAAGAAGTGTTTCTGATTTCCAGCTCTCTGAAATTGCATTGAATCTATGAATGACCTGACCACCACCCAAACCACCTAGATTGTTACTACTCTTATGAAAGCTGTTAGCCCGGACAAAAGACTTCTGTTGTCACTTACCATACAGGCTCATGATCATGGTGCCTTATAAAGGTAACTCCACCCTTGTTTAGTTAATCAATGCTTACAAAATAGCATCAACATCTTCAGGATAGTTGTTTCCTATTCAGTATATTTAGCTGCACAACAGCACAATGCATTTCTCATTTAGATAATGAACTCCCTCCTACTCTCCTAAGCATGCTCATTCAAAAGATTTACCATGCCTGGGAAATGCACAGATTACATTCCGATGGAGGTACATTTTCTTGCTATGGTTTCAAAAATGTCCTGCCATAAGAAGTGTCAGCAACCCCTCCCCCACAGGAACAATACATCAACCCCAGCAGCCCCCTCGTCCATTCGCAGGACAGAGCAGCAGCACCTGGGCTGTGTTTATTCATTGGCTGGTAATGAAGAGCTCTTTAAATTTGCAGGACCCTGCCATCTCGGGTGTCCTCTCCCTAGACACCGGGTGAGGACACATCCAGTGCAGCCAGATCCCCCCTCCCTGCCAGCGCCTGGCTGGGCCGGGGCAGCTCAGTCAGCCCCAGCGAGGAGCAGGAAGGTGGGTCTGTAACACGATCCCCTCCCCGGTCGGCCCTTGGGGGGGAAGCGGGAGAAAGGAGGCCCCTTACCTGAGCTGTCCATGGTGCTGCTGCTGCCGTCCAGATGCTGCGGCTGCGGCTGCTGTCGGGCCGGGCTCCGGGCTGCGGCCAACACGGCCGGGATCACCCCTTGCTTGCTGCCGCCGGCTCGCTCCTTGCTGCCCCCGCCGAAGTCACCGTTGCTCTCCACCAGCTGCAAAGATTCGTACCCGTCATTGCTGGGCTTTTTGCGGTAGCTCCCGAGCAGGCTCATGGGCGAGTCCGGGGTGGGGGGGAGGCTGCGCGGGCAGGGGCGGGAAATCGCACGCGCCTCGCCTTCCCCGGGGGCAGAGCGGCCGCCAGGAGCAGCCCGAGCAGGGCCCTGTGTGCTGGGCGTGGGCCGCCGGCTCCCGCTCCCCGGCTCGGCGCAGGGACTCCACCGGCGCGGCCTTAGCACAGCGCTCCCCGGCGGCCGCCACAGCCCAGCGCTCGGTGCTCGCAGGCTCGGCGCCCCTGGCCGGGAGCCAGCTCCTGTCTGGAGCCCGGGCCCGGAAGCAATCCAGGGGGCGTCTGGCCCGGCCCGCGCCCTGCCTCTCGCGGCCTGGGCTGCGCGGCACCGACAGGGAGGGGAGGGGCACGCCTGGCAGCGGCCCCCGCCCGGCAGGGCAGGGGAGTGGGTGGGCCGCTCAGCGTGGGGGGGTGAAAAGGCCTAATGGCGGCCTGGCTCAGCCTAAGGCTAAAAAAGCCTCTTAAGCCTCCCCCCCCTCCGTTTTAAAAGGGTTTGAGGGGGTGATTTCAGTCTTAGGGCCAGAGTGTTCGCGGCCTCTGTTTGAAAATTCTGTCTCACGTGCGTGTAACACCTCCCCATATATTATATTATCTACACACACCCTGCGTATTATCTCCATACACACCCCGCACATATCCCCTATGTATTATCTCCATACACACCCCGCACATACACCCTATATATTATCGACTCATGTCTTCTCCGCTCTTTATTCTGAACTCAGTTTTCTCTTAGCCGTCAAGGAGTTAAAAGGAAAAAGAAAACGGAGCAAGTCTCTCTGATTCGGAGCTATAATTCACCTAATCTAACCATGCCAAGGACTGTAAAACCACAGACAAACTGCAGTCACTGGCACTGCCAGGATACTTGGACCAAACCCTCTCAAACCGGACAATTCTGTCAATGCCACCTTTCTCACCACAGGGCTTAGACTAAATTGATAGTGGTAGAGACATAAGAATGTCCATACTGGGTCAGACCAAAGGTCCATCTAACCCAGTATCCTGTCTTCCGACAGTGGCCAATGCCAGGTGCCCCAGAGGGAAAGAACAGAACAGGTAATCATCAAGTGATCCTGTTGCGGGCCCAGAGGGCCCCGAGGGGGCAACAGGGTTCGTTGCCTGGTGTGCGCCGCACCAATAGACACACCAGGGTGGAGAAGCAAACAAAGTTTATTTGAGATCTCAAAGTGGTGCAGGGAGACAGGCACGTCTCAAATCAAGCATAGCACATACAAGCAGGTTTCCCATTTTATATTCCAAGCTGTTTTGAGTAAGCCTTTTGTTCTGGTTTCTCCCTCCTACCCCTCCCTACCCAATAGCAGTTACAGCAGGTACACATTGTGCATGTTAGAAAAATTCCCGTTCGCATGCTTATCTTCGGCCTTGCAAGCTCTACACAGTAGGCCTTTTCCTCCCCCTTCCCCCCGCCCTCTTATCACTACTGTTTCTGCTAGTGCGAGCGAAACTGCAGCTGTCTGCTAAAAAAAAGCTGACCATTACATATTCTGCTTCAGCATTAGGCTGCTAGCATGTAGGCTGGTCAAGGTTCACAAGATGGAGTTACTGTGGCTCACTTAGACCCAGAGCAGAGGGGTTTCATCGGCACTTATGGCCTTCCATCCCCCCCAAGTTACCAGTCTTATTAATCTCTCCTCATATGGCTGCTGTTCCATATCCCTAAATATTTTTGTTGCCCTTTTCTGAACCTTTTCCAAATCCAATCTATCATTTTTGAGATGGGGCGACCACGTCTGCACACAGTATTCAAGATGTGGGCGTACCATGGATTTATATAGAGACAATATGATATTTTCTGGCTTATTACACTGGTCTACAATTTTTGAGACGTCGTCTGCTTCAGAGATAAAATGTGCTATTTATTATGTATTTTGATGTGCTGAATTCAAATATGACAATTAAAACAACTGATTGACTACTGTTTCTAAGAGATTTAAGTT